ATTTATTTGTATTTTTTTACTTTTAAATGTTTTTCTTTGTTCCTTGAACTGCAAATAAAAAATCTATTGTGTTCCTTGCCGCTAAACTTTCATATTACATTTAATAGGAATTTTATGTGTATTATGTGGAATTGTGTTCTAAGCTATATGTATTTGTTTGGTATCAAATTCGAAATTAGGTGATGTATGATTTATGTTAAATATAATGCAGAAATTTAAAGACAATGTTAAAACAAGTACTAATGAAGTTTGGGGACCAAAACAAAATATTTAAAGCTATAAGGTTCAAAGAAATGTAAATGTGAAAGTCCAGGGATCAGAATAGGATCACCAACATTATCGTTTTACGTGCATGGAATGGATATTGGAAACTACACCCCCCTTTATGTATAATGTGTGTGTGTATCCATATTTCCTGTTTCAGTTATTGACTTATTTATATTTTAGGAAGCATTTGGACGGTATCTTGATTTGCACGAACTGTACAACCAATATATTAATTCTAAATTTGGAGAGCCCATTGAGTACTCTTCTTACCTGGATGTTTTTTCACAACCCCAGAAAATCCCTCGCAAACTAAAGATTTCAAGGTAAACAGATCAATTTTCTTCCTCAAATATGATCGTGCTATTGGTTAATGATTTGTTTAAGTGTAAATAAGTGGTGTCTTATTTTGAGTTCTTCTAATATCTACTTTATACAGACAATACAGGGAATACATGGAGAATCTACTTGCTTACCTCATTTATTTTTTCCAGCGTACAGAGCCCTTGCAAGATCTTGATAGAATATTCTCAAAGGTTACTTTAATTATGGTCTTTTCTCCTTATTTTAACATTCGATTTTCACATTATGCATTATGTACCATTCTTGGAACTGGATCTTTAATAGGCTGGTTTCATTATAGTTTTCTGCGTGTGACAATTTTACTGAGTTGAAAGCGTGCTGTTTGCAAGCTATCTATTGTCTGCATGTTTTGATAAGGCTTTAGGCTGAGCATTGTTCTACTGATGAATGATTAATGTGAGGGTGTTTTGATAGGGTGAATCTGAATTTGAAGAGCGATGGGTTACTGGCACAATTGAAGGATGGGAGAACACTAGTAAAGATGATGGCCATGATACTGACCCGCTTAATCTTATTGATCTTGACTATTATAGCACAGTGGAAGAGCTGGTGGAACTAGGTCCTGAAAGGTTAAAGGAGGTAAGAAGTGACTCATGATGCCATATTATGTGTGTTGCAGAAGTTCTACATATGGCATTACTGCTTTCTTTTGCTACCTTCCTTAATTTCTATATCACTTTCTGGTAGGGGTTGGCAGCATTGGGACTGAAGACTGGTGGTACAGTTCAGCAGCGTGCAGAGAGGCTTTTCCTCACTAAGGTAGTTTTTTACTGCCTTTTTGTCCAACATAGGATGTCATATGTTGTGAACCTACAGTAATTCAAGCATAACGGTAAAGTTATTGTGCAGATTACTTTCTACTTTGAGGATATATTTTTTCTTGTGTGTATGTATACAATCATGAATCTCTTTTTTTTATATGTATACAATCATGAATCTCTATCTATGTCTTTAAGACTATATCTATAGACTCTCTCTCTCTCTCTCTCTCTCTATATATATATATATATATATAAAATTCTGACGAGCAATTGATTTTTAATGTAATGTCCTGCATAGTGCTATCCGGACAACTGCTTACCCAAATTTTTCTTTGTACATATTTGATTTTCAATAAAATTTTGTTTCTTGTAAAAAAGATCCAGCCCGTTGCTGGAAGTTTATTGTGATAGCTTACACATAACATGATGTTCCTAATGTAGCAAATACTCTTTTTCCTTTTTTGTCTTTTAGATAAGTAGTATATGTCCTATATGATTAGCAAAATTTGATTTTAAGGCCAGTCTGCAATAGGATGATCAACATATAATTCAAACAGTGAATGTCATGGTTATGTTCTCTTTTGTTTACAAGAATAACTGGGTCTTGTTTCAGTGTGGTCGTCTGTATCTTGGATTTTCCCATAAATTAATGCTGATCTAGTGTTAGATTCCAGAAATAAATCTATCCGTATTTCTGCCAGTTATGTTATTTGTGATGAAAATATGCATTTAATTTTCCTCGAGCATTGATAGGTAAGAGACATCAGACAACTTTATTTTTCTGGGATGTCATATAATCTTATACCTCAAAATTTTTTCAAGGCTTGGAATATTATTTTATTAATTTTACAGTTCATTTGACACCTCTATTCTTTGCAGCATACACCTCTACAATTGTTGGACAAAAAACACTTTGCGAAAGTGTCTCGTGAACCGATTCAGAATGGGGCAGCTGCAACTTCACTACACGATGAAAATTTGAAACAAGTTGCCCTGATGGAAGCAAAAATTGAAAAATTGTGCGATCTTCTGGATGAGGTTGGCTTTCAGGAACGATCAAAACATCCCAGTTTACTCATATCCTTCATAATTTATATACTCCAAAATAGATAATTTTGGGACTTCTTAATAAGCATGTTTTGTTTATGGCCATTTTCAGACGATTGCTCGAACCAAAGACAATATTGTTAAGAAGCAAGCATTAACTTATGAGGAAATTGAAGCAGAGCGTGAGGAGGTGAGAAAACAGTAGTTTGTCGTTCTTTGTCCATTCAAGCTTCTTCCTTCCCCAGTGATGTTAAATATATTTACCTATTAATATAACTTGAGAAATATATTATTTCTGAGATGGTTACCATGCATGTCATCAACGAAGAATTCTGCCTAAACTGTGGAGAGGTGTTCGTAGGTTATGTATTTGATATTGTTATGTAATATTTATATCAGAAGTTTATTTAAAAGTTTATAAATAGCATCCCAAATCTGGCTTTATGGTAGACTGATTTAGCCTTAATTAGAACCTTACCAAAATGGTATCTGGTTCACCGAATTTTACTTCCTGATCGTGAATGGCCTGCATGCCTTATAAACGATGGTTTATTATGTGGGTTCAAGATCTTTTTTCCTCTGTGTATGTGCATTGGTGCCCGCTTGGCAAGAAAACTGAGATTTTAATAAACCATTCACCATTTACTTGCTGTAAAAGTTTAATTATTTAATAGCCTTTTGATGTGGCAATTCTGGCAGGAAGAGACACAAGCTGAATCTGAAAGTGACGATGAAGAGCAACAGATTTATAATCCCCTCAAGCTCCCAATGGGTTGGGATGGTAAACCCATACCTTACTGGCTCTACAAGCTTCATGGCCTTGGTCAGGTAAATCATTCCATCCCCAACCAAAGCCTGTATCATGGGAAGGAAAATATAGCATATTAGGAGCCTAATATCTGTATGTCCACTTACTAATTAGTCACTACACTTTGTCATTTTTCACTTATTCGGAAGTAAATTCCTCTTGAAGGAGCATAGTTTTCATTTTAGGGAGCACATCAATTGGAACTTGATACTTCAATGGAGTTGACCTTATTTACTGTTATTTAGTTGTTTGTTTGTCTTTTCAAGTCAATATGTTATTGTATGTGAAAAACATGATATAGTTATGACTTTCATAAACTTTCTATAGACTAATCTCAAGAAAATAAGCAACATTTTGGAAGCCATGGTTGCACTTGTTATTTTCATAATCCCTATAGTTCAACAGCATGTTCAACAGCATGTTGTGGTTGCTTTTGTTCTCAACCTTTTCAAGTTAACGTGGAAAGATTTGCTTGAGAATGTGATAGTTTTGTGATACAGGAATTTAAATGTGAGATATGCGGAAACTATAGTTACTGGGGTCGTAGAGCTTTTGAGCGACATTTCAAGGAATGGCGTCATCAGCATGGAATGCGTTGCCTTGGTATTCCGAATACAAAGAACTTTAATGAAATCACGTCAATTGAGGTAGGCTTTTGCTGCTACTTTGATCTCCCTCTTCCGTGAGTGTATTTGTTTTTTTAATAAAAGCAACTGTACTTTTTATAGACTAAAATGTACAGAAAAGGGTTCTGACCAAGGATGGAGCTTACAAATATTTGCTCTAATCTTTATTGCTAAAGAAGAATTTAGTTATAAAGACTAGAAAGAGTACACCAAGAGGAGCTCACATTCGTTGGCTACATGTTGACATTTCACTACATTTTTTATAAAAGATATTGCCCTTTCATGTTTATGTTTTTTTTTTATATATAGTTATGACTTTACGGATATGCCAAAAATTTTTAGTCCATGGTCAGTCTAATACTAAGAAATGCCTGCATGGTTGCACACTTAATTAAATTCTTCAGTGAGAAGATCTTGTATTCACTTTTCTGATCTTACAGGAGGCAAAAGACTTGTGGAAAAGAATTCAAGAGCGACAAGGAGTTAACAAGTGGCGACCAGATCTGGAAGAAGAATACGAAGATAAAGAGGGTAACATTTACAATAAGAAGACATATACAGATCTGCAACGCCAGGGGTTGATATAAGAATCACATTCATCATGGAGATCTTTCATTTGTAAGTTCCATCTGAATTCCTCTCTAACCATGCTTGACCCTTATTCTGAGTTTTATGTGAACCTATGGAGGCGTGAGAAGATTTTTATCCTTCTTTCTTCGGTTCGTTATTGTATGATTTAGTTAATGGGTTTTATTCATCTTTCTTTTTCAGATTCCTCATTTTATGGTTAGCCGTTGTAGTTTTGGAGGAAGCATTTAATCAAGTTGATAGAACGGAGATCATGAGAAGCTCAAGCGAATTATATGCATAGTCACTAGTCAGGTTGTAGTGCTTTTTTTGAAAGCTAAATTTTGAGAATCAAATGTAAGAAGTTCGGTATCCTTCTGCTACCAACATTCTCAATACAGTTGCTAATTCGTGCTTTTTGGACCAGCGACGTGTATGGCACTTCCAAATTCGAGGATACTTACGATTATAAGATTTTAATTGGCGATTAAAGAGAAAAATTTGACTGATTCGGTAGACTCCTTTTTGCCCCTTAATTTTTATACTCTCATTTGGACATGGTAGTTCAGCTGCCAACACTGCACTTGTCAGATGCAAATGGTCTAATTAGATTAGCAGGTAAGACATTAAAAATATGGATTTATTAATAAACAGAAGTCTTGATCTAATAAAGGTTTTTACAAAAGCCATGTATAGTTAATGTTTTTATACAAAAAAATTTACCATGATTCTCATTTTCCTGCAGTTTCGTAAAAGTTTACGAACATGGATTTACAGTATGCAAATTGACGTTGAATTTTATACAATGAAATTGAATGATCAATTTTGGGTCTCAACTCAGGAACTTGTGTCATCTATGGCTTTCATGCAGACAAGATCTTGTAAATAAAAGTGCAGATCCATCTACAGAGCGGAGAATCAGCAGCCTGGAGTCCACATATGTCCCACAGATGAGCTTTGACAGATCGAACAATTCTGGTGGGACTTGTGTCCGGACTTCCCGGACGACATTTCTTGCAGCATCTACATCTTCACTCAGCGGATCATCAAGACTCATCTTCACGTCGATGTCGCCTGAAATGAGCTTTATGGCCGGGAGGCTGGACGGAAGCTCCTCAAAAGGAATCACCTTCCTCCATTTCTTACTAGACAACTTCTGAGCCAGAACATGCTGAACATTGGATTGGCCAAATGAAAGTTGGCCTATGGTGTTTTCTTCCTTCAGGTACAGTCTTCTTCCAGCTTGTATTCTGGAGGAAGAGTTAACCACCAGTTTCCCATTGACACCCATTTTATTATGTGGCCAGTTACGACCTCTCATGACTGTGAAGCCAATGTCGGAGATCAACGAGAGGCGGTTGTTTAACTTAGATTCTCTAGCAACTGTCAAGCACACATCTCCGACAAGAACCCTGGCAGGAGGTTGACGAAGGGTGAGGCCTATGTGCTTCCCTGTAGAGTATAAGAAACGCCATTTTCCTGGGATTAATTCCTGCCAATGCTGTATAGTAAAAATCCAACATAAACAGTTCAGATGCTAAAACTGATAATTACTTTTTAAACACAAAAACAACACGTAGCAGCCCTTATGGAACATGGGAACCAAATATATCTTCAGAAGTTGCTGTTTTAAAAATATGTTTTATACATGCAGATGTTAATATTGATCACCTTTGGTTTTGAATGAGGACTCAGCATCTCCATCAACTCAATGAAGTGGGAAAGCTTGCTTCGCTTAATCACAGAAAATGAAGAAAAATAAAAACTATTTAGAGACCCTTCTAATATTTAAAATGTTCGTAGCGAGAGAGATGAAGCAGGAAGATGAAGAAAAGGTTTGTTATGCACATACCTGAGGGCGGCTGTAAATGTATTCCTCTGTAATTCGAACTGCAGTTGAACCAAGACCCCATCTAATAATTTCCACGGATGGGGCTACCCGCCATCTTGGTCCACAAAGGAATGGATGCCGGAGAGCCTCTAAACAGCTGCAGGGAGGTTCAGTTTATTTATTTACTTTGAGAAGGAAACAAAATTCCTATTGATTGGTGAAAGTTACATAGAAGAACGGTTACTAACGTGTAACCCAAAGCCGATATGTAACAATACTTGGAACAAAGCCTATACCATCCCCAAATCTATACCTTCCCATCTACAAAAAAAAATATACACTCCCCAGTTTGAATTTAAAATTATAGTCACAAAAAGAACTTGAAAGAGAACACCAGAGATGGCATAGTTTTTGCTAGCTCCACTCTCTCCTCCCAATATAGACTAGGCTCTTCCTTTCAAAAATTCTTTAATTTCTACCATTCATTTGACCCCACAAAATTTCCTTAATGCCAATAGTCCAGATGACATTGGCCTTTTTCTTGAATTTGTAACCGCATAGCAATTGGGCCAAAACCCAACAGATAGATTTGGGGTGAGAAACTCCGTTAACAAAGTTCTAAATAGGTTTTCACTTTTTAACTCCTTTTCTAAGAAGTTGGTCTCTAATGCATAAATATGTATTTACCTTATTCTTTTAGAAGGACTGTTTGCAAGTAACAAGGAAAGAAGGTTCCACCCTGCACCCCAATTTCTATCAAGTATCTGCAAGAAGGATAAATGAATCAAAGATCTGGATATAGATTGAGGAAAAATGATTGCAGGAAGACAATTAAAAAAATATTTACTTGTAATCCGACATTTCCAGATGATAATCTATGCTGAAGGACTTGCAATAAATATTCACGCAAGCATGAAGAATCTTGGCCCTACATTTCCAGACCAAGTAAACATGGTTATATATGTGAAATAAAACATGAGTACTAGATGCTTAAGTGTGTACGCCAAATGCAAAGAAAAAAAAAACACAAATGCTAAATCAGACATTCCAGTGCCTGATCATGCCAAAACAGTCCTGGGAAAAAAACAAAAGAACAAATTATTCAGATGTTATAGTCATACCTTTGAGAAAAATGATTTGAACTTTGTGAATATTAATGGATCCATGAGTTCCTGCAACACCATCTTTGCCATCATGAACCCCACACATCTTCACCGAACAAATGAAGAAAACATCAATAAGACTATCGAGAAGTTTAACAAGAAAAAAGTTACTGAACAGTAATTCCTTTCTCCAAAGATACCTCATATCAAATGCAATCATCATTTGCCGTCGGTCAAAGCTATTTTCAGAAGTGCTATAATTCTCAGCATGTTCATGGAAGTAGGAAGCATTTCCCAGAATCCCAACCTGATAAAACAAAGGAGGACGAATACAAGTTTGCATAAAATGAAGCAAGAGTTGTTATCCTAGAAGATACGAAGGACCATAATCTGTTGTTCAATTTCTTGAATATCAAGTTGGTACATTAATCCACGTAAGTGTATCATATAAAGTTTGTTCATTACCATTAAACTCAGTAAACTGTAGCACATGTGAAATTTTTACAAATTACACGAGAGTAACCAAAGCTAAACCATAAACCGATGCACTTGGAACATCTAAGTACAACTTCAATCAGAAGGACATGTAGATGAAATGGGAGAAATACCCCATGCCTTGCATACTCCAGGAGGCAGTCCAGAGTCAAAAAATTCAATTTGATTAATCTATCATCCCTAATATTGCTAGTCATACCATCAACGGGTCTAATCAAGCTAAGCCAGTGCATGCTTGATTTATAAATAAGAGATTACTAAATGTACCTACTTTGACATATCTATTAACAGGGCTTAAGTACTTACTTTGACATGTCTATCTACAGGGCTCAAGTGAATGTTTTCCAGCCTCAACTCGGTATGTGCAAGCCCATGGCTGTGCAAGTAATTAACCTGAGATAAATATAAGGAGGCATCAATAACTAGCCACTCTCAATTTCCAAGGATATCTCAATCACCTACCCCAATCAAGAGATCCCTCATTAATACTCGAATGAGCCGTGAATGGCGTGAAACTGCAGGTCCTCCACTGGTGGTATCGCCAACCTTTCTGGCAGACTCTTCATCCAATGCAAGAGTAGCTTCCAATGTTGGAAGCCAATCTGACTGTTGAAGCCAATGCCTCAAAGAAAAACTACCATGATGCTACAATTAAAAACAGAAAGTGGTACGGTAGCGTTACTTCTCTATAAATTTCACATTAATGGGGTCACCGGGTTCTAAACATAAAAATTAACTGGGAGACGTCATATTATATTAAGAAATAAAATCTAATAAGGAAAGGTTGGTTGTTCCAAAATCATCGAAGAAGAAAGAATATGTTGTGATCCTAGGTTCAGTTGTAGCTGAGGTACAAAAAATTCTTCATGAAACTAGTCAATATTATGTTCAAAGAATTGCACTTAAATGAAATTTGGGTTGATAGGGTTGCTAAAGGGTGGTAGATTCATGGGAATGGCATAAAAATTGAATGCTACAGTCAACTTTAAGTAAACCAATTGTTGTCCAAAAACTTTAGTAAACATATTTTGGGGGCACAAAAATCCATATAAACTAACTTAGGGCACCTACCCCATGAACCAGAGTAAATGAGCAGCGACCATTACTCATAAGTGAAGATATGTAGCCATGAATTTGCATTGAATAGGAATGATACATCAATCTGCGACGAGCCAGTTTCTTCAATACCTAACCACGTGATTATGTAGAAGAGTCAAGTACAATATACCATTACTTGCTTGTAATTTGAAAAAAAAAAAAAAGATGCATGAAATACAAACTTCAATAGCTCTTTTTCCTCTACGCTGAGCCTGAGGAGTCTTTAGTCTTCTAAGCACAACCTTTGTGTTGTATAAAGGACTACAGTAAAAAAAATGCTAGTTATAAAGATTTGAATTATTTGAAGAATATCAAAATACTAAAACAAAAGTAACTAACCTATGGCAATTTTTCACAAGTGCTTCAAAAACTACTTCATCCGCCTACCACATTGTTGCTAACATGTCAAAAACTTGCAAGAGAGAGCAAATAGGGAGAGTCATTAAAAAACATCCTCATACCCGACCTCCGAGACCAGTGCTGACGCAATCGAGAATCTTAAAATCAGATATCTTGAATCTGACGACATGGTCCAATTCTTCCTCCACAGAAACTGATAGAGGACTCGGAGCATTGCGCTTTGATTCTGACACAGATGCATCTTTTCGTACTGATGAGCACAGTAGTCTTGAACATGGTGCCCAATTTGAACTGGGATATTTCCCAACAAAATGCACCGGAAGAGGACCAATGAGTGTAGTCGACAAATTTTGCTTAAAACAAACACCCATAATCCTTTCAGAACTTGGGTTCAAAGCCATTTCATGACGCGGCCCCATTGATCACAGGATCAGCCACTGAAAAAGAAAATACAGTCGAGTAAGCCCCAACCTTCACTCTGCACTATCACAGTTCTCAAAATGACACCACACGAAAGAAATTTCCTCCATCAACTAAGTGGTGGAAGGAAACAGTCCAATTACATACAACTTAGTTTCGTGATGTGGTAAACAGACCGTAAGGGGAGGAAAAAGGGGTGGCTTTATTTCTTGGGTTATGTCAATAACAAAGACGAATACATGTTTCAGTTTGACCAATGACCAGGAGAGGTGGAATGCATTAATTTGCTAAAAAAACGAACTATGAACATTCGGCGCAAAACTCAAACTCATACAGGCGGGTGAGTATTCGGGGAAATCCAAACAACTGAATCAGTTGAAACTCAACAAATTGGAAAAGAAATTCAGGAAAAAACATTACATGACAAGAACTGGAAAAAGAAGCACTTCCGATGTCGCAAGCAAGTATAAAGTTTGAGAGCAAATCAAAAGAGAGAAATTGAAATTGGTGGGGTTACCGGAAATCCAGAGAGAGAGAGATTGGCGAGAGGTTGAAGGAAGGAAACATAGATTATATAGAGAAAGAAGGGGTGGGGGTCGCCGTCGGGCTGCCGGAGAGAGGAACGTGAGGATTGCGTGGAAGAAACAGTTGAAAACGTTGCTCCATACCCTTTCCTCGTGCCGTCCCTAAATATCTATTCTCTCATTTTTACACATCACCATTATCACATTTTAAATTTAATCATTTCTCTATTTTATTTTATTTTTCTAGTACGCTAAATTATCGTTGAACTATCTTCGGTCCGCATTTATTTTATTGCTTCACCTGCAACTCTCTGTACTCAATCCATATTTATAATTTATATAATTTTTTTTTGGTTAAAAAAATCTTTTGGTCTTTGCTAAAGCAACGATTTAATCTCTAGGTACTTTTAAATTTGATAATAATTTAGTTCTCGAACTTTTAAATGTAACCATTAGATTTATTCCTTATTGTGAAATTTTTAGTAAATTTCTTATATATATATATATATATATATATATATATAGATTGATAAACCGATGAAGGACTAAATATATCTATAAATTATAGAGATTAAATTGTTATATGATAAAACTTGGCACTTAATTTTGATAAGATTTTTCACGATAGGAACTAAATTGTTACAAATTTTAAATCGTAGGGTCTAAATCGTTACAAGTTGAAATTCATGAACTAAATCGTTACAAAAAGACTAAATATATTTTCTAACCAAATTTTTTTGCTTTCTAAATTTATGATAGTAGTATTTAATGAATTGTGTTCAGCTATACATAGATTTTTAATAATACTTTTTTTTCTTTTATGTCTCGTTGTAAATCAAATTTTAATCTTTGTTGGATCTTCAAACTTTTGAAAATAAAATTTTAGTCATTGTGAATGTTAAACAATTTTAAGATAAGGTTTTAATTGAGATGCACGATGCAACATAAAACGATGGCAAATCAACTTGAAGATGAAAATAAAGTTCAATTTGAGAAATGTACAAAAATGAAAAAAAAAAACAAGGAACTTTGAAGATAAATGCATACTAAAAAAGAACAAAAATGAGAAATGAACAAAGAAAGATTAAAGATAAAAGCATACTTAAAAAAAAATTAAAAGTTAGATGAATTAATTTTCTTAGAAATCATTAGGTTTTTTCTTTCTTTTTTTTTTCTCTCTCAATAGTAAAGTAACGTAATAAATATCGCTAACAGAACAGATAGAACCGCAGAAAAATATAATGAAAGTGAAAAAAAAAATACCTTTAGAAAGTAGAACACATTAAACTAACTATTAAGATGGATATGAGTAAAAAAATTTACATCAAATGCCCTAAACCACAGCTAATCAATATGTAGGCTAGCCTTTATTAAGGTTTAAGGTTTTGAAAAAAAAATTAAAAAAAAATAAAAAAAAAAAACTGAACAACTTTCCTTTTTCCTTTTCCTGTTGGCTGCAAAGTGCAAAGCAATGCAAATTTGGTATAAGGTGAGAGATCCCACAGATGAGGAGGGAGATTGGGTTAGCAATCCTTGAGGAGAAACAATGACTCTGATGTGTGTTAAATGGTATCCTATTTTGTCCTAATTCATGAACTTCCGACAGTTTGGCGCTTTACATAAACACGGGACTTTGAATTCATCCGGTTCGTCGGGATCGAACAAATAATCGTACCTGCCAAATCCAAACAACACCCTTTGATTTAGAATCAACCAGACTCCATGCAAGAGCAAGCGTGTGCACGTGTGCATCTATATGAGAGAGAGAGAGAGGGAGAGAGAGACGTTAGCTCTTCGCCAGCAGGGACATTCGCCTTGGCAATGAGTACAATCCGACTTTCGTCGTCACCAACACTCATGATCCTTGCGTAACAGTTGGGCATACACTGCACAAAGAATTTGAGACAGACATGGTAAAGAGTTGCAGAAGTTGATACGCAGAAATCTAGTTAAGCTAGGCTGAAAAAACTTACTGAATGGTTGATCAGGCGCGCTATATTTCCTTTCTCAGTGGCATCGACAACTACTTCTTCGCTGATCTTAAAAAGCTGCCAGAAATATTGTGACAACAGTTCAGAGCAAGAACAGAAGATATGTGCTAGAGGTTACAAAACTAGAAGATAGTTTACATAGAAACTTAGGTTTAGGTAGCTTTCCTTGTGGTGTTTTATTTGTAAAACTAATTGTATAGCTTGAAAGTTTATGTAGCCCGAACTCGTAGGATTAACAAACTCATAGATCGAGATGCAAACCTAGGTACCACAAGTAAGCTCAGGTTCACAACCTTAGGCTATACAAATTCATCCCACGAGCCAAACAACCCCTACGAGTGGGAATAATAGATGCTAGAAATCTCACTTCTTTTTGTCATCGTCCACTAATAAAAGTGTATTTGAGAACAAAATTTTACACAAGCATTAATATCATTAATTGCATGTTGAATGAAGTAAGAATCTAACATACATAGCAGTCTTTGCCCTCCGATCTGTACCGCGCCTCCCTTAGATCAGCAATGGTGCGCCTAACTTGTTCACCACGATATTCAAGAACCTTTAACAAGATGGTTGAACATCAGTCAAAACACACACATATACCAGATGACTGCCTTTAAATGACTCACCATGGAGTGAAGTTGAACACAGCAACAATAACCATAGGAAAATTCACAAAAAAAATACATGGACATAATATCAACTTAGCATCACAAGAAGGCATCTAATTTAAATGGCTCTATACCATTTCTCCTTCTTGAATGTTTCTACGTGCAAAAAGCCCCCATCCATGTATACCAGATCTACCAAAGCATACCCGATCATTCTCCGTTCTCTGGAGTCGCACACATATGAGAATAAAGTGAGATATCAAATAAAGAAACTTCATTTGTTGGAAATGGGAGGGACTTACCTGTAAGTGGTACAATCGATCCCGAAATGAGGAAAAGACCTTTGGTTCCTCTACCATCTGTAGGACAACACAAAGTAAATATCATCTTGTTCTAAGCGGAAGGGAGTGGAAGAACTTTGGTATATACTTAAAATAAGGATGACCTTTATGCTGAATGTATTAAGACTTTGTAATGCTTGTAAAGGATGATGGCATGGCCCCATCACTTTGTGAATAACGGCTCCCTCAACCGTCCTCTAGCAACAAGAAAAAGTAGTCGAAAGATGATTAAGGAATCGTGTACTCGGTCATATTCCAGAAATGAAAAATTCAAGCAATCTAACAGTAAATTAGATACACAGAACAGGGACTAGTGACTACCTTCTTCACACTAGTTGATCTTTTATAAACCTGACACCTCGCAGCAGAAAATGGCTCAAGTTCAGAAGTTTCAGATACTTCTTCTACTTCCTTTTTGTTAGATGAGATTAACCTTGAACCAGCTCTCTTCTTATTCTGAAGAAGGCTTTTAGTAGAAAAGACCCCAAGAGGAGTCTGTATGATAAGAACAGTATCCGGATTGGGAGCCCTAAACCAAAGTGAAATGACGAAAAGTTACCATCGACCAACATAAGATCAGAAACCAAGTTTCATGTTAAAAAAAACATGAGATTTTTCCTACCATCCCAAATTAGAAAGTAATACCTATGATAAGCACAATAAGAAACCATTTTTGTGATTTGTCTACCATTCTTCTCCAGGCAGTGCAACTGCAAAAGCACAAACTATTAGTTGGATTGGACATCTAGCCTTGCTAGAACATCACATGTGAGAAGGCTCATTTGGGGTGAGGGATTTCAGTAGCTCAAAATTTTCAAGTTTGGAAAATGCATATCGTATAAATGGGGCATTCACATTCAGTAATAATTGTTTATCAACAGGATTTGTTTCAAATATTAATTCCATTTACAAAAACTTAAATTTGAAAGCAAGCACCAAAATGGTTTGTAAAGCTGTAAATCAAAGCATTACCAACTTTATGTATAGTTTATAAACTTTTTACACAGCATGGGAAGATGCTACAAGTACTCCAAAGGGAAAAATGCTAAGAACAAAAAGGAGATGCTTCTTTTAGATCAACTAGTGGCACACAACTAGGAAAAGACAAATAAATTTCCAATAAGAGGCTAGTGTAAGAATATTCTGAGACAAAAAGTGGAGACAATTGATAAAAGTACCAACTGCAGCACAAGTTCAGAAATGGGAGAAAAAGTATGGTGATAACCATCAGCACTGAAGCTCATACATATGAGGATTGAAGGGGGTATTGTCCTATCCATTTACATATTTAAGAAAACCAATACTGCCAGGACAGGACAATAAATAATACCTCCATGCAATAGCCTGCTCTTGATGCACACATAGCATGGTAGTAAGTAGAGCACTTGCAGCATTGCATGCATGAACCATGAATTTGCTTACAGATCACACAAATCTGGAATTCATGAAGACGAGTATTTGGTGAGGAAAAGTAAAAGAAGATGAACAGCTTAGCAAAAATAGCCACAACAACACTGAAAATTATTGATATCAAACCTTTACAAAAGAATTTGATGGGATACTCAAGATACCAAGAGCAGGTTCCATTTTCTCATCACTTGCGAAAGATACTTCGGGCCTAAACCAAGCACAGGTAACATGGACCCATAACGTGTCGACATCAGTGGGCTTCAAGGCACCCCCTACAGTATCAAAATTATCAGCAGCAGGGGAAAGATATCAGTTATGATTCAATACTGCAAATCAATATGTATATGATTTGTGCAGGCACTTAAAAGATCTACTGGAAGCGATAGCCGAATAAATTTATATTATATATATAATATAAAAATAACTATTCTGCAAAATAATCAGCCAGGATACTCATGGATGTAAGAACTTGAGAGATTTGAAAGAGATCACAAGAGAAGAACCATATTATAAAGAGAACTTGTTCTAATCTGATGCTCTAGGAAATTTATTACTAGTTTGATCCACAGAATGAAAAAGGCAGAACCTTTTACTGGACAGAGGCAACACTCCCGCTTAACATCAGGAGTTTCACACACTTTACAGACCCACGATGTGAAATCCCGAACATTTCTAGCTCCATAGCATTCTTGATGAACTGCTATCTGACATCTGATACATTAATAATGCCCAGAAAAGGATCAGTGATAATATATTTACAGAAACAGACTTGATGTTGAACAAAGAGATCTAAGAATTCAA